CCATTAGTGGAAATGGCTTTAAAACAACTGAATGTCCTTGTGGGAAACATTCTTAAAATTTTTCAATTACATACCATGCTTTTGGCTGCTTCTTCAGAGACTCCGCCCTGACCCGCATTTCCCTCCCTCTCCCTCAGCCTTCAAGTCCTTCAGACAAGTGAGCTCTGGAAGTCAGCTTCGATCGGAAAGTACTTATCAGAGCATGTGCTTTTCTGGGGTTTAGAAGGGGAACTCATTAAAAAACATCCAACAGTTATGTTCTTTTTATGTCTCCCATTTTGAAGTTTGATGCAATAATTAACCTCTCTTTGCTCCAAGGAAACTCAGACCCAGCTTCAGTTTTTTGTGAAAACAGTGTTTAATATTTTCAATTCTATATGCTGTACAGTTTTGAATAGAAAAATATGGAAATCCTGCTTGGTTTTCAGAACAGAGAAATCTCTGCATTTTTCCTAACTGAGTTCAAAAAAGAAGTGTCTGAAGGAGGTGTTGAGTGAACCAAGGAGCTGTAAAGGTGAAGCTGAAATCCACACTGCCAGACAAAACATCAGTGGACAATTCACTGTTCAGACTTCATTTATTTTAATATGATGGCTTCTCACCCTGGACTAATCTCCAACAGAGCTCTCCTAGTCAGTATCTGGGGATAAATAGGCTCTTTGCAGGTAAACCAAAAACTTCATACTTTGAGAAGAAATTGGAATCTGAAAGATGCAGCACAAAACTGGAGATAGGGGAGACCCAGGGTTTCATGTGGTCTCAGTCCCTGTACAACCAAAACTTTTTGTGCTTCCTTTTATCCAATTGTCAAATGGAGATGGTGCCACCTGCCCTGATTTCCGGTTCACAAGGGGCTAAGTGAGACTCACGGCATGTATGACACATTAGGCACAGAAAGTTCTGAGAAAGTAAAAGTGCTGTACTAATGTCAGGTGTTTTAACATTATTATTATTTTTTTTTTTTTTCAAGTAAGCAGACCTCTCTGGACTTCTTGAGGTTTGTAGTCTTAACTAACTTCATGTCGGCTTCATGGTCATTCACATGTGGATTCTTTGGTTCTACCTTCCTGTCAGACCAGATTATGAGCGGATCTTCTGGTTTCCCCATACATGGTATAGACAAAACAAACTATTTGGGGCAATATTTTCTTCAGAAGCCTCCCAGCAGTATAAGGATGATTAAGACATCAACATTTGGAATCTTAGATGTCAACTAAGATTCTCACCAATTTAAGATATGATCTCTCCGAAATGCAACAATGGTCATATTAGGATGATGAGATTATGGGCAGGGCTGCCATGTAAGACTGCACAGTGTGTACCCCACAAAGGTGCCCAGCCAAGGGATAAGGACTGACTGACACCCACTTTTCTATGCCATTTAATTATGAAACCATTTACTCCAGGTGCTTTGCCTACCCAGAGAGGGCATCATTCTCCATTTGTATAAAGGTTCCACATGGGCTAGAGGTCTTGACTATAGGTGATTACTTAGATTCTGACAGTGGACAGGCTGGAAGTGAGGAGAATCATGGCTTTTTTTTTTTTTTTTTTTTTCCTGCTTTAATCCAGTTCAACCACCTCTGAGGCTACAGACTCCTCCAGCAGCCGGCCCTTCTTGCCTCTCCATCTTCCCTCTCACACATTTTTCCTTCCCTTACTTTTTTTACCCTGTTTTATTGACCTTCTCCTGAGCCCCAGTCATCAGTGACATTCCTGTAATCACTTAGGAGTTTCTGCTCAGGGTCAATTTTTGACACAACTGCAAAGTAGTAGAAATCTTCCTTCTCTGTTTTATCCTTTTAACATCCTGCCCGACACCTCTCTCCCTGGTAACCAGGATTCAGGACCCCTAGTTCAGACACACCTAGCGATCTGTAATCTTATGGCATTAATGGCCACGTGTGTTACCTCAGGCAGATACGTTGTCATTTAAAAGAAAGGTGCCTTAGATACTGTGTTTTAGATATAAGGAAGGAATCTCAAACAGGAGAATTTCAGGCAACTCTCTGGCTGAGGCGACTGATAGGACATTTTTTGAAAGAAGCACCCCTCAAATATGTGCTTACTTTACCTCTAGCACTTCTTTTAGGCATTTTTTTACAGATTGGCTTGAAACAAAATTTGCAGCTGCCATGCCTGCTTTTCTTTCTCCTCATTGCTCATATATCTGAGATTATAATCTTTTCTCTAGAGAGTTCCTATCAGAATTTTCTGATTGATTGTCTCAAAAGACTCAACACCCATTTTCTCTGCCAGGCTGGCCCAGAATCTATTCTTGGTAATTCAGCATCTTTTCTTCCTTATGTCCTCACACCCTCCTGAACAATCCTAGCCCCTGTGGTTTTGATACCACTGACCACTGATGCCCCTCAAGCCTATGCCTCCAGGCTGGTATCCTTTCTGAGCTTTGTATTCACTGAACATGCTGCCTGTCAGACATGCTCACTTGGTCCTTAGAATCCCAGCCTAGCAGGTCCCCAACCTAATTTGTCATCTCCCTTCTGCTCCGCACAGACTTCTTCCATTTCCCAGTTGGTGGTGGTCATCCAGCAGCCATGCAAAAATCAGCAGTCACACCCACAACCATCGCTTTATTTCCTCCTAATTCCTCACAAATCCGTCTCTTTCTCTTCCCCTCATCCTCGCTGTCAGTCGTTCATCACCATCTCTTGCCAAGACAATTGCAAAGGCCCCAATTTGTGATCCTCTGTCCAGTCTCTCACCTTCTCAAATCACCCTCTACTTGCTGCCACAATGATTTTTCTAAAGTGAAAGCTAAGTGTATAATTCATTTAATAGAACTTCTCAAACTCCTCCGCTTAAGTACTCCTAATGTAAGAAGAGTGAACGACCTCCCAGAAGATCAGGATCCAGAAAGCCCCACTTATAACACAAAGTTTCTTAAGTCACACTCTTTAATCCCATTTTTTGCAAAATTGATCCTGCAGGAAGATGTGTATTTATCCTGTGGCTTAAGAAAACCTCAGCCCCTCTAGTTTGAGAAGCTATAGTCTTAGCTAAAATGCACATCTTTTTTTTTTTTTCTTTGCATCTTATACAAGGACCTTCCTGACAGGTGTCTAACTGCCTACCTGCAGTTGTCACACTGGACTTTTTGCAATTCTGTAACTATCATACTGGTTCTCATCTCAGGACATTTACTTATACTGTTTCCTCAAACCAGACCAAACCCTTCCTTTATCTATTTATCTTCTAGACCCAGTTCAAGCAACACCTGCCCTGTGAAGCTCTCTGTGAGAAACCCCACCAGACTGAATCCCTCCTTTTATGCCACCAAAGTCCACACCTCACCCATAACAGATATTTTACTAGATTGTAATTCTTTGTTTATGTCTCTCTTCCCCACTGGACCGTGCATTGCTTCAGGACAGGGTCTGTGTCTTATTTATTGGAGCCTTCTCAGGACCAGCACCATGCCTGGCACTTGGTCAGATGAGAGGTAAATATAGCCAAGACGTTTCACCTTAGTGTTCATCAGGGCTGATATGGCTGATCTGAATGATCATGGGGATGTCCCCTTCCTTCCTTGCTACCTATTCTATCTCCTCTGTCAAATGGGATGACCCCAGACAGACAAGAGCACTATAGTGAAGGGTGTATCAGTAGCTTTTCTCTCCTGCTAAATCATCCAAACAGGCTCTCAAGACCCGACACATAGTAGATTCTCAATGAATATCTGTTAAATATTTGAGTGAACCAATGATCAGCACCATTATTCTCTTAAATTGTGCTGTATTATATTTTCTCAATCTTATCTTCCAGAGAATCCTGGTATCTCTGAATCCGTATGAGCCAACGACGTGCTAGCACTTATTACACATTAAATAAGTGTATAAATAAATAAGTTAACAAGTGAAATAATATATTCATGTGTATTTCAATGTTTTTTAAAAAGTACATGCACCAATTTTAATTTTTTTACTCTAACACCTGGTGTGTTTACCAACCTTTTAAGAACTGGCTTTTCACTCAGAAATGGAATCTTGACAAATTGGTAATGACTGAAATTTTTTTTGAAAACCTTATCTGTGATTGGTGAGGTTTTTTTTCTAATTTCAGGCTCCTTTACGAGTAACTCTCAATCACATATAATATAATTTAAGGGTCTTCAAAGTAAGGATAATCTCTGTTTTTAAGTATAAATACTCAGTAAACATGACAGCTCTTTGAAGCATGACAGCTCTCAAGCATTTAGATAGAACTAAGCGAAAGTGCTTGGTACTCCACAAAGCCACAGTGAGCTCTCAGTGATTACTTTGTTCATCAGGCATTTATTCCCATTCAAACGGGAACATGGAATGTAAGAGCTGATGCCTCTAGAATTTCAGAGCAATACCCACTTTTAGTTGAGGACAGCAGTATTCTTTCCTGAGCCACCATTCAGTTACAACCTGGCTGCCAGGGACTAATAAGATGCACTTAATTATTTTATTTTTTAATTTTTTTCGTTAGGCATAAGCCAAGTGGATAGCAACTTCAGGCTGGGAAGGATTTTCTCTTTCCCAAACCCCAGAGCAGTGTTCTCTAATTTTTTTTTTTTTTGATTGAAAACATAAACTTTTACCAGTAAAAATCGGTACATCCCCAACATGAGTATAATTATTTATTTATAAATTGTATACATGTTTTACCATACTAATACATCTATACTATTATAAAACTCATCAAAATGGTCATCTAAAGGGATGATATAAAAACGAATAAAAATAGAAGTTACTTTTCCTTCCCTCACTCCAATGGATTGTCTGGTAACTATCGCACTGGCTGAAAGAGTCACAGCTTGCTCTGGAAGGGTCGACGGGAACAAGGTTCTCCAGGGTCACGTCGCTGAGTGTGTGTAGCCCCAGCTCACCCACCGGCTCACTCCCTTCAATTGATTCTATCAAAAGCAACTGGCTTTAAACTTTTAAGAAAAAATTAGAATTCAGTGATAGAATGATGATTTAAAAGACTTTATTTCCAGCATATCCAGCTTTTTATAGTCCTGCTAAATGCTGTATTGCATTCCAAACAAAAAGAACTAACTGCCGATTATGCTGTAGGATAAAGAGAAAGGCAATAAAGCTGCAATATATCCTCAAAGCATGTCAAAAGTGGTATGGTAAGGCAGAGGAGGATTTTATCTCACAAGGCCATAAACACTGAACAAATTAATTTTCCATTCCAGAAAATCAGCAATCATCAACACAGCACTTTGCAAAATGTTTAAGATTTGTGATAATAACAAGTACTGCAGTGGCACTCCGTGTGGTTTTCCACTTTGGTGTTTCCCATTACTGTGGCCTAAAGGGAAAGAAAAAAATTATAGGTAGATAATAGATAATAGATAGATGATAGATAAATAGATAGTTGATAGGCAAATTTGAAAACTTTTAAATAAAATTGTCTGTAGCCAGCTGAACTAAATAGATGCTTGTTATATTTACGTATTCTCTCTTTCTGATATTTTCACTATGAAAAGTGAAATTCGCATTTTGTAAGAAGCATTCTATTCTCTTTCCCAATCTGCCCCTAATCACCTCCACCTCTATTCTCTTTATTCTAAATAAATCCAGCCCGTACCACAAGGTTGCTGACTCTTGATTAAAGGAGACAAAAGCCGCCCTTCCCTGTACAAATGCCTGACAAAGGATCGGTCATTAGACGCCTCCGGCATTAAACTTTATGGAGGTGCTCTGGGGACATTTCTCTAATGAGACTGTTAAAAAGCTTCTGGGGCCCTTTAAGTTCTCACCTTGGTAAATGCTTTGGCTACGCAGCACGTGGCTTCTGAGGTGATATTCTTTGGAACCAACATTGTCTTCTTGGATCTAGCTGGAGTGGGATACGCTCTGGAGAAGCAGCAGCCCATGCATTGATAAATTGGGGCACCCAGCTTGGAGAAGTATTTGTTTTCCTTTAGCTTGCATTCTGGGCAACCTATCCCCCAAAAAGACAAAGAATAAAATAATCCAAATACGATTCAAAAAGAAACTATTTATTATTTTTATTATGGGGTAGTAAATATTTTTTCATTGGAAACAAAGAGATAAATAAATACTTTTTGACTATAGGTTAATCTTAATACCTAGTATCTCTTTGTACTGATTAGAGTTATTTTTATGGGAAGACAATTTTTGCAAGTATGCATGGAAAATCTCAAAAGTAGTAGTTTCTCTCTCTCCAAGTATGACTTCTGTATCCCAATACTAATAGTATGCTTATAAGGAAAACGAAATTTGACAGATGAAAACACCTGACAGGAGAATTTTGCCCAAAAGCAAAATATTTTCTCCTTTAAAATCTACTGTTGTTTTTTCCCCATAGAAATTCTAAATGTTGACGGAGAAAAATATGTCAGAATTAAGAAAGCTGGTGAGAGTTGAGAGTCTGATATTAGAGGGGGCATCTGCATTTGGGATTAGGATTAAAATATTGCCATTTGTCTAGAGAAAAACCATAACCAATAGTAGGTCACAATTTCATAGCAGATGGAATTATATCAGCTACTCTTTTTGATTTTTCAAACAATACAGCAAAACAAATTTACTGCATAAAATGATTTTTGTTTTTCTCACTTGTTAACTGATGTGAAAATCCATCTAAAAACGCAATGTTAAAATCCTCTCAAAACTTCCGGGAGATGTGTTAAAAAAAAAAAAAAAAAAACTGAGCTAAACTGAATAAAGAGCATTTTCTCCCTGTAAAATTCAAATAAAAAATAATCAGGAATCTATTTCAGATGAAAATGTACAACCTGCTATTTAAATAAACATGTAAGATATCATTTTCACTGTACATTTTTGGAAACTAATTTAATTTTATGTTCACAATCTACAAGTACTTAGGTATGTATTCAGCAGCAAGGATTTATCACATTTGAGAAGGAAGTGGATATAAAATTAATGAAGTTATCGATGTACATCGAGAAATGTGTGTTTTTCTCATTACTGCAAAACCAGGTTTGGTCACACACCCTGCATTATAAACTCTCCATCAGGAAAGGAATGAAGAATATGCAGAAACACAGACAACGTGGCCAGAATGACAGCTGCATGTTTTCTGTAGTAATCCATGGCTCTTCTGCAAAACAGACATGGGGGGAAAAATGTTACTCTAAAGCTGGCTTACCAGTCATAACAACAACCAGTAGTTTTAACATTACTACTAATAATAGTAATCGGTGACCTGATCGCTCTGCTTACATACAGATCCCAATACACTCTAAAGCCATGTATAAAAAAATAATTTGTCTTCAAGAAAGAGGTAGGGAACCGAATCTTCCCATTTGTCACATCAACCAGTAGAATCAGGCTTAATGATAACAACAAATTCCCTTTTTTAAATATATTATCCTGTTAAGAAGCCTCAATGTTCTTATTTGTAGTTAGTGTTGGGGAGAGAGTTGAGGAGTGTTGATGGAAAAGTTCTGTATCTTGATTGTGATTGTTGTCACACTAATCTACACATAGGATAAAATTGCATAGAATACACACACACACACACACACACACACACACACACACAGTGAAACTGAATAAACTCTGTGGGTTGTACCAATGTCAGTTTCCTGGCTTTCACATTGTACTATAGTTATGCAAGGTATTACCATAGGGAAAACAGGCTAAAGGGTATCAGGACTGCCCTGTATCTTTGTGGTTTTTTGCAACTTCCTCTAAGTCTGTAATTATTCAAATCAAAGGTTAAAAAAAAATACATTTCAGAATGAGATTTAAAACTGCATGAGTCAACACTTCTGGTTATTTTTCATACAGTCTGACATAATAAAATGATATTTTTGCTAGATATTTATATCAACCCATACATCTCATAAAAATAATATGTCAAACAGTAGAACTAACAGCTTATAATACAGAAAAATAGACTGGGTAAGTATAGGTAAGGCTAAAACATATTCATGTCATGATTTCTACCTGACATATATGCTTAGACACAAGTAATTATTGGTTTTATCTTCAGTCAACAAATAATACTGAATAAATATTATTCTAAGTCAGTGGTTCTCAAGGAGTGATCTGAAAGCCCTAAACGCTTTCAGTGGGTCTGAGAGGTCAAAATGATTTTTACGATATAAGATACTGTTCACCCTTTTTACTCTCACCCTCCCATGAATGCTCAGAAAAATTTTGTAGGGTCTACATGACATGTAATGTTGAAATAGACAGAAAAATAAATATCACATGAAAGTGTAGCTATGTTCTATTTGGCCAGTCTTATAAAAATTTTTTCAAAATAGTGAAACAATGTCATTCTTCTCACTAATTTTTTTGTTTTGAAAGTTGTCATTTTTATAAATATATTGTTTTCATTATTTATTTATATAAATATGTTATTCATATTATTTATTTACATAAATAATTTATATCATTTATTTATATGATTATATTAATAATTACTTATATTATTAATAAATATATTATTTATGTTTTTATTGTTATTTATGTTAACATGTGATGGGTTAATGTTGTTTTTAAATGAATAAATATCTTTAAACTTTTAAAAATATTTCTAAATCAGTAAATATTAATAAACATAATTTAATTTAAAAAGTTCTTTGGGCTCTTCAATAATTTTTAAGAGCATAAACAAGTTCTGAGAGCAAAAAGTTTGAGAATCACTGCTTAAGTGATATACAAAGCTACAAGAAAAATTTCAGATTTAAACTAACATCATTTGTGTGCTTTGATATTGTAGCTCATATATTTTAGAAATTCAGTATTATACAGTCGACAATTATATCAAAATTAATTAAAGAGAGAAACATCTTAACAAGATTACAGAATATGAGAGCATGAAGTCAATGCACATTTCAGAATTTGCTTTATGATAAAGTGAAGAGAAGATTGAAAACAATCAACAAAATGAAAAAACAACGTACTGAAAAGGAGAAGATATTTGCCAATGATACATCTGATAAGGGGTTAATCTTCAAAATTTATAAGGAACTCATACAATTCAACACACACACACACACACACACACACACGCACGCACATGCACACACACACAAGATCAATCCAAAAATAGGCAGAGGACCTGAATAGACATTTCTCCAAAGAGGACATGCAGATGGTCAATAGACACATGAAAAGAGGCTCAACGTCACTAATAATCAGAGAAATGCAAATTAAAACCACAATGAGACATTACCTCACTCCTATCAGAATGACTATCATCAATAAATCAAACAAGTACTGGCGAGGAGGCAGAGAGAAAGGAACCCTCATACATTGTTGGTGGGATTGCAAATTGGTATAGCTGCTATGGAAAACAGTTTGGAGGTTCTTCAAAAAATTAAAAATAGAATTACCTTATGACCCAGCAATTTCACTTCTGGATATTTATCCAAAGAAAACCAAAACACTAATTCTAAAAAATATATGGACTCCTATGTTCCCTGAAGGTCTATTTACAATAGCCAAGATATGGAAGCAACCTGAGTCCATCAATGGACAACTAGATCAAGAAGATATGGTACATATATACAATAGGATATACAATATATATACATATATACTCTGCCACAAAAAATGCAGTATTGCCATTTTCAACAACATGGATGGACCTAGAGAATATTATGCTAACTGAAATTATGCTAAATCAGACAGAGAAAGACAAATACCATATGATTCCACTTATATGTGGAATCAAAAGAACAAAATAAACAAACAAAACAGAAACAGACTAATTGATACAGAGAAAAATTGATGATTGCTTGACAGATGGGAGTGGGGTTCAGGGCTAGGTGAAAAAGGTGAAAGGATTAAGAAATACACGTTGGTAGTTACAAAATAGTCACAGGGAAGTAAAGAACAGCGTAAGAATATAGTCAATAATATTGTAATAACTATATATAGTGCCTGGTGGAAATCGCTTCATAAATTATATAAATGTCTAACCACTATGCTGTACACCTGAAACTAATATAAAATAATACTGAATGTGAACACTAACTGAAAAATAAAAATTAAAAAATAAAAATAAAAAAAAGAGAAAATCGAAAAAGCAGAACCCAAGTCCATTGCTGTAGCTTTCAGTAACAAATGGCTTTGTCTTTTTTTTTTTTTAATGAAATTAACCCAGCAGAAGGGATTAACTTTCAAATTCTAGGTGTTTTTGAAAGCGTTTTGATAAATGTTGTTATCATCCTTACTACCTTTTAGATCTTTCTGTTTGGAAATTTGAAAGAAAAACATTGTTAACCAGGGCAGGAAAAATAATTATGTTCAGCTGAAATTATTATATTTTGCAAAATATGCCCAATCTAAATCAGATCTGCTAATCTCAGTCTCTTGATATTTCAGTACCCTGCAAATATCACAGACAGTACATCTAACCTCACATGCACTTCCAACGTCCACTCAACATAGCTCCCATCACCTGCCATCAGAATAATATGAGTCCAAACAAATGTATGCCTGCTTTTCTCTTCTTTCTCAGTCCATCCACCAGAGAGTCAAGTTGCCAAGCTGCCAGCTTCGCTGTAAAGGTTTCAGCCAACTCCAAAGCCAGAATAAATAACTCTCTCTACTCCATTCACCTATCTTAGATGAAGTTCTACAGTATGTCCCAAACTCTAGCCAGTTATGTACATGTTTGTCTCTCCATCCATATGAAAGCTTCATAAAGGCAGAATCTATGCCCCTCTAATCCACTACCACCCTAACACAAAGCTTTGCACAGAGTAGATGCAATTACGTTGCATTGGGACTTCAGAACAGTAATAATAATATCAATCAAAAGTTGCTAATGTAAAGCTGTCATTCATGCTGAGGAACAAGATATATCTTGAATGACAACTTAGAATAAATGTTTAATAAAAGAAAATATTTTTAGATAATAAATTCACTAGAGACAGTATATTCTCACTTAGCTATATAATTTATAGTTGACTAATATGTGGATCTATAAGTGTTAAATATGCCACAAATAGGAACCATTTTATGCTAAAATACAAAAGTCATAAGAATTCAAAAGAAAACATTAATAAAAATATATATATAAGAGCTTCAGGGTTTAAATTGGGTGTCTTTTAATTTATATCAAACTATATATGTCCACAAATTTAGGTTTTTAATATAACATGACTGTGAAGGAAAGATAGCATTCTTGAAAGTATGAAAGAATATTATTGCCATAATTCACCATTATTATTTAACATATATTTGCATAATATTATTTATAGTGATTATAAATAATTAATAT